TTTCCTACCTGGAGGGAAGGGAGAGCTGATGTCTGCCAGGCTGTGATCAGGCTCACTGCTCTGCAGCTGCTGCAGTGATAGATTTTTCCAGTCACTGGGAGTCCCAGCAAGTCCTTCCTGGTGCTTTCTGTGATGACCTGGGCACTGTCACAGTTTGGGATACTCTGGAGCAGTGAGGGTATGGTGCTGCTGGGCTGCTTCCATACTGATTCTGGGAGTGCTGGCTGTGGTGAGCACAGTTTTACAGGAATTCTTGTCCTTCCTTAAGAGATGCATCCAGACAGCCAGAGTCTGAGGCTGGATGACAGTGCAGCTGTTGTTAAGGATGCTGATCCCTTTACAACCAAACTGAGCTTTGAGGTAAGAGCCTTACCTGTGCCTTCCAAGTCATTTCATTCTTGCTACCAACAGAAATGAAGAGAAAATTGCCCTTTACAATCCACACTGCTCTTCTGGTGTGCGGGTGGTACCCAGACAAGAGAGCTGCAGAGCAGGGGACTGGGAGAGGGATGGCACTTGGGAGAGAAAGGAATTTACCACTTAACTCCTCTCTTAAACAAACAAACAAAAACCCTCGGAAAAACAAACAAACAAACCAACAAAACCCACACAAAAAAAACACCCACCCAAACAAACACAAACCCATAAAACAACAAAGAGTGAATGTTCCTGGAATGTGGTTTCCTCACCACACACTGGTACAGTGGAGCTGTCCCCGGGTGCAGGCAGCACACCTGTAGAGCAGGACTAGCTGTGAGGGTTACGTGGAGACTGCAGGCATGGCTGTTTCTGACAGGGAGCTGTTAAAAGCATGATGGAAGCTCCCTGGAACCAGACGTGTCTGAGTGCTGCTGTCGCGGAGGGTGTGGGTAGAGTTGACAGGGAGTCTGGTGGGACAGGGTTTGGGCCAGTTGAGCTGCTTGTGCTGAATTTTACCGTGCTGCTGGCACGATGCCCTCGGAGGGGCTGCAGCTGTGGCTGAGTGTGTCCTCCTGCAGCAGGGGGGCTCGGAGTTCGTGCCGGTGGTGGTGAGCCGCGCCGCGCTGCAGGCCATGAGCCGCAGGGACGTGCTGATCAAGCGGTGGCCGAAGCCTCTGCGCTGGCAGTACTACCGCTCCATGCTGCCCGACGTGCCCATCACCATGTGTCCCTCCTGCTTCCAGGTACTGTGTGTGTGCAGAGCCCTGAGAAAAGCCAATGGCTGAGACAGAGCTGGTCACTGAAACCTCGTGCTCTAAAGTGCAAGAGGTAGAGACAGAGCGGTGAAATCCCAGCGCTGAGCTCTGTGGTGCATGGAGAACAGCTGCCTTCAGAGGCTCAGCGGCAGCAGAATTTGAGAAGTTGCCCTGACAGTAAGTCAGAGCCTCTCGAGCAAACCTTGGCTGACCAGCAGATGCTGATTTGTATTCACTTCCTTTTGCTCTGTCTCTGACTCGCTGCCTGGTCTATCAAGGAAGATCAGTCAGTGACTAAGTTACCTTGTGGTTCAGTGCTGCTCCTGCCATGCTCAGGAATGTTTTTTTAAATGCTGGAATCCACTCGTGTTTGCTGACGCAGAAACTGACTAATTTGCTGTCCTTCTGCAAATGTGGCTAATGGGTTTGTGCCTCTCCAGCAGCACTGGCAGAGTCTGTGCAGTGCTCACTGTGAAGTGCCCCAGGCCACTGAAGCCAAGAGCTCCAGTTCTCTCTGATGGAAGCTCCAGAATGTCTGTGCTGTAGAGCAGCCGTTGAGCTCGGTTGGTGTTTTCTTTGAGCAGGGCACAGGCTAACTTGTCCCTAAATCTGTTCCTAATTAACAGATGTTTCACACAGAAGACTATGAGCTCCTCATACTGCAGCATAATTGCTGTCCCTTCTGTCGGCGGAGAATAGATGAGTCAAACCAATGAAGAAAAACAATCTTACCTCAACAACAGACTCCTCTGTTGGTTTGGCAAAGCACCTCTTAGATCCACAGAACTTTCCTAGCAACTTTGTTACATCCTCTTGTTCCATTTTGTACATGAGTGGAACTGAGCTGAAGAGATGTAACTATTTTTTAAAATCCAAAATGACAGTGAATGTTCTCTGCATTTCCCAGACAAGCAGTGAAGTGCCACAGAATTTTACAGGGATGTTTCTTGGGTCAAGTTCAGCCTTTAAGTAATTGTTTTTACTCCAGATTGTGTAGGACTTGATCTGCTCCTTACTATGTACCTGTTCTCGACAGATCTTCAAATAAATGAGACTATTTTTCACTACTCCTTGTCTCAGAATTTGCTGTAATGCTGCTGCTTCTGCTCCAGCCCCTTGTGGAGGCATTGGACACGGGGGTCAGTCCCAGGCAGCACGTGAGCCCCCACACTGGCTCTCCCCACAGGCCTGGGCAGAAACCAGGAGAGCAAAATCCAAGAAGCTTCTGGGTTGAGTTGAAGACCATTTACTAGCTGGAGCAGAACTCTGTGCAAGCAAAGCAAAGCAATGAGGAATTTATTCCCTGCTTCCTGGAGAGCAGGGCTCAGCCTGAGTAACTCACTGGGGAGGACAAACACAACATCCTCTGAGCTTTTATTTTGGAGCATGACATCATCTGGAGTGGGACACCCCTGTGGCCAACTGTCCCAGCCCTGTCCTCTTGCTGAGGGGCACAGAGCAGGGAAAAAAGGAAACCCCAGTGCTGTGCAGGCACTGCTCAGCCACAGCTCTGGCACCAGTGTGTTCCCAGGGCTGGTTTAGACCAAAGCACAGGGAAGTGAGGGAAGTGAACTCCGTGCCAGCGACACCAACGCTCCCCTGAGCAGGTGAATCTCCCAAGGATGGTCACAGAGGGATGGAGGGGGAAGGTTCACAAGGGTTACTGGCTGAGCTGGAGCTGGGAAGTGATGGGTTTGATGTTTAACCCGGTATAAACTGCCTGTGTTGCTGGTAGAGAGACTCCCAGGGGAGCAGCACTCTGCACGTGGCACGGGATGTCACTGTCTGCTCGAGTTCCTCTGGACAGGGAGACCCTGCGCTCCGCGTTTCCGAGTCCCCTGCTGGTTCCTGACCAAGTTTGCTTGATGTACCACTTTCAAAACATTCTGTTCTAATTACAGCCCGTCTGCTTTCTGACTCAGCTGTCACTGTTTGCAGGGAAGACTCTGCTATTGACGTGCATAAACAATGCTGTTTGAGATGGGAGCCAAGGTGGGATTCAGCTCCTTCTTCCGGAGCTGAGCTGGCTCTGCAGAGCCAGGGGGAGGGAGAAGTTACAAAAACAAAGAGAAAGGGTTTGCTGTGACACAGAGACCACATGGATCGAGGAAGAACTAATATGAAACAACTCTGGGAAGAGAGTCTAGCTTTGGAAAGTCAGTTGGGTGTTTCTGAGCAGAAACACTCAGCAGGTCTCAGCTATGGGAATGTGCTCCAAGCCAGGCTGCCCCATGCCATGGAGTTGGCTTCATGCTAAGGAGTCCCTGGAGCTACACGAGGTTGGAAGCTGCTGTGAGCAGTTTGCCCTGTTCCTCTGCCTCCTTGCTGCCTGTCCTGTGCTGCGTCCAGCGGTGACGCACACCGGCCCTGAGCTCCACACAGCAACTGCTGCCTCAGCAGTGGCTTATTGCATCAGCTTAAGGTGTATTGGGAAGTAAACCCTTAATCCTGGTGTGCCCAGGTACAAGTGTGAACAGCTGCATTTGCAGTTAGAGTGGCCTGGCTCTGGCCTCGGTGACAAGTGTGAGAAGTTAATGGAGAGTGGCTTAGGGTGAGCAGAGTGTGTGTGAGGACATGGTGTTTCCATGTTAAGGTGAAGGAAGACCTTTGGAACTGTCCAGAGACTGCAGCCTGCCTTGGGCTACTGCCAGCCCTGTCAGCTCCTTCCCACCTTCCCCACTGAGAGGGAAGGTTCTCGAGCTTGGTCTCTGCTTTAAGGAGAGTAAAGTGCTTTGTGCTTTTTTCTTTCCAACTTTTTGCACATGCTAAACTAACACACACGGAACATTGGTGAAAACTAGTCCATGACTGGAGGAAGTTTATTATGGCCAAGAGGACACAAAGCTTCTGCCCACCTCACACCCATGAGCTCCAGCAGCTCTGGCACATCCTTCCTGGATGAGACCTCACATTCACCCGCCCCTGGCTGTGAGCAATGCTCAGCTCAGCCCCCAGCTGCAGCCAAAACAGCAAGGGGAGGTGGGTGCTCAGCTCCCTTCCAGCCTCCATCACCTACCAAGGGACAGAGCAAACAGTCCTTGCCAAGCCTCAGTAGGGGAACCAGCTGGTACCTGCCTGCCAGCTGGAATGTTAGTGACTGCTCGTGAGAAAGGTGGTAAACAGTGGGTGGGAAAAAGGAGAAGGGATGGAGAAAACAGCTTTGGAGCCCAAAAGCATTGGCTTCAGCTCTGAATCTCCCATCAGTGCCTTGGTCCAGCAGCCTTCTCAGCACCAGAGCACAATGGTTCCAGTCCAGAACAGACAGACTAGGTTATTTATGAGGTGTTAGAGTGAAGTTGGCATAACCCAAGTCACATACAGAGCCAGGCACAGAGGGCCAGGCACCACACCTGCCCAGCCCAGCCACCACCTGCAGCCCCCAAAGCCAGAGTCCTGGGGTTTGAACAGCACACATCCCTCCTGCAAGTGGGGGGTGGAGGGGAGAAGCAAGCTGTGTGAGTGAGGCTGCTGGTTTGAGCCCCCCAAATGAAATTTTGGTGCAGAGCTACCTCTATGTGTGACCATGAGTTGTGGTCTCTAGCACTGGCAGCACAGGCCAGAAACAGGTGTCACCTTAGCACCTCCTCAGGAAAGCCAATTACCCCATGATGATGATGATCCATAATTCTCTAAACCCTAATCACGCTGACACCAGTGCCCAGAGCTTACCCTGGGGGCACTTTATAAGGTGCCCTGCAGAGGGGGGCACAGCCACTTCTCCTCAGGGTGACAGTGAGGGCTGAGAGGAGCACCACTTCAGAGGTGATCCCCCGTGCACAAAGGACCCCTTGGGTAAGAGTGAAAGACACCTCAGGAACTGCAGCCATGAATGGGACAGAAGGCCAAGACTTCTACGTGCCCATGTCCAACAAGACCGGGGTGGTGCGGAGCCCCTTCGAGTACCCCCAGTACTACCCGGCTCAGCCCTGGAAGTTCTCAGCACTGGCTGGCCACATGTTC